AATTTATGTAGAATTGGTAACAGTTCTTCTTTAAATGTTTTATAAAATTCACTTGTAAAACCATCTGGTCCAGGGCTTTTCTTGGTTGGAAGTATTATTATTAATTTTAATGAAAGTTTAGAGACTGAGGATTTCCATTCATTTGTTGTTGCACTTTCCTCCCTGCCCACCCCTCCCACCCCCAATTCCCTCTGCTTTTTGAAAAGTAAAAGAAAAGTTCTTTCATTGTTTTACAATCCCTCCCCTCAAGTCCACTCCACTATTCAGCCTTCGTTCTGGACTTCTGTCATGATAATAATACCAAATTACATATCCCCTTTAAACAGTTTTCTCCCTCATCTTTTTTAATGCAGTATACATTATTGAACCCATATTTCTCAGTCACCCCCAACCCCGATGTCAGTCCTGTTTTATAACAGTGGTACTATGCAGTATTTGTCCTTTTGTAACTGAGATATTTCACTCAGCATAATGTCCTCCAGGGTCACCCATTTTGAATAATATTGCATGAGTTTCTTGTTTTTTAATGCAGCATATTATGTGAATATACCACAGCTTCTCTATCCATTTGTTTGTTGATGGGCACTTACATTGTTTTCAACTCGTTGCTGTTGTGAATAAAGCCGCGATAAATATGGGTGTGCATCCATGTCTATTCTTTTATAACAGCTGTTTTACATAGTATTTTTCCTTTTGTGACTGAGATAGTTTACTCAGCATCATGTCCTTTAGGCTCTCCATATTGTGTAATATTCTTGTTTTTCAGTTCTGTGTAATATTTCACTGTGTGAATATACCATAGTTCTTCTATCCATTCATTTGTTGATGGCCACTTGAGTTGCTTCCCATCTCTTTGCTGTTGTGAATAATGCAGCAATAAATATGAATACGCAGTCTTTTTCTTTTTTAAAGAAGAAAATGGTTGAATTTTCTTTTCTGATTAGTTTACTCTTAATCACTTCAGCATGTACATGTGATTACGGATTTTACTAACTCCCAGGTGATTTAAGATTTAAATCCATCTTGTATTCACTTCTTTTTATTGTAAATACAAACTATGGTCATGGGCACTTGGGAGCTTGTTAGAAATGTAGAATCTCCTTCCCCACTGTAGCCTTTTTAAATCAGAATCCAAATTTTAACAGGATTCTTTGCGTAATTGTACATTAAAGTCAAAGATGTACTTTATTAGGTCATTTTAACATTTTAGTTGATCTCTTCCTTGACAGATTATAAAATCAACTCAGTACTTCTTTATGAAGCCAATTTATTATGGACTGTTTCTAACTCAGAATATCTTTCACAATTAGAACATTATCTTCATTTAGCTTTTATTTTAGATGTTCTTTGTTTTTCTTAAACATACTTTTTTTACAGCTGTGTATGTTTACTTTTCATTTAAAACTTAAATGTTAAAATTACTTTAAGAAAGTTGATGCTCCTGTCTGATTCCAAATATAGTTTCTGCATTCCAAAGGTTTCTTTGTTGTTTTGGTTTTTTTTTGCCTATTCGAATAACTGAATTTGGGGTATGTGGCGTTTTATAAAATTTATTTTATTGTGATTTAGTGAGATTTAAAAATCATTGGTTTTGCATTCAGTCATTCATATTTGCTTTATAACATAAATTACATGTAATTATAATGTCTGGTGTACCCCTTATTGTATGTGACATGTTAAAATTGAGGAGCACAGGTAGCACAGTGGGTAAGTGCTTGGCCACTAACTGAAAGGCTTTCGGTTTAAACCCACCAACTTCTTCATGTGGTGGCAGTTTGTTTCAGCTTTGGAATTCTAGAGGGCAATTCTCCTATAGGATTGTTGTGAGTCAAAATCATCTTAATACAATGGTTTTGGATTTGCTTATATAGTGCTGTTTTTGTTGTGGTTTTTTTTTATCCCCAATGAGAGCTTGTTTAATATTTTGATGCTGCTTTCCTTTTTAAAAATTTGGTTATGATTTTGCATGGATTTACAGTATAGAATCATGCTCTACGTATAATAATTTTGCCTTATTAACATTATACTATAAGCCTTTCCTATATCATCAAATGTTCTCCAAAAACATGACTTCTTGTGACATTGTTGTTGTTGTTGTTGTTGTTATGTGCCGTCAAGTCACCTGTGACTTGTAGTGACCCTGTGTACAACAGTCCTAAGCTCTGTTCTATCCAGTGCCAATCTTTTGTCTCTGACATATCTATCCCAATTAACCCAGTCACTGAATCAATCCATCTCATCAAGGTCTTATAACATTAGTATAAGTCTTTTTAATGATATTTCATAGTTATTTTATAAAAGCTGTTTCTTTTACAATTAGTCTCTGATAGAAAAACTTTTTTTTTTTAACTGAGCTGGGTATCATTTTAATTATGTATGTGTATAGAAAGAAAATATGAACGTGTGATTATTCCTATTTTGTCTTAATTTTTAGCAAGCTTCACTGCCTGCACTTCAGTTCTTGGGATTCCAGCAAAGAGTGGATGGTAGATATGCCAGAACATGAGGACGTTGAAGCCATTTGTCTTGGTCAGGGATGGGCTGCTGCGGCCACTAGCACCCTACTCCTCCGACTATTCACTATTGGAGGTGTTCAGAAGGAGGTCTTTAGCCTTCTTGGACCTGTGGTGTCAATGGCAGGACATGGAGAACAGCTTCTCATTGTTTACCACAGAGGTAGATTGTTCTTAACTCTTTTTTCTTTGTACCATTACCTGAAATAAAACAGAAATAATCGAGCATTTAATATGTATATATAAAATGTATATATTTTTGTGTGCATACACACACACACACACATACACACAAGCTCTGGGGGCGAAGTGATGCTGTAATCCTGAAGGTTCTCAGTTCGAATCCATCCGATGCTCTGTAGGAGAAGGATGAACACTCCTGTGCAGTTATCTGCCTTTGGATACTCTCTGGAGGATCAGCTGTGGGTCAGATCCACTTGATGTCAAACAACATAATCATACATTTTTTTAAAAAAACCCAAACCGTTGGTGCATTTGAACCTCATATCTTTGGCTTGCCAGCATGTCTCCTTACCACTAGGCCACCAAAGCTATATTCATACATATTTACACACACACACACACACACACACACACACACACACACACACTTGCTCTTAGGTCAGAACCAACTCAAAGCTGACCTTTCAGCAGGGTTTCAGTGGGATTTCCCTAGCTACTCCAAAGGAGAAAGGTGGACTGTTTCCTCTTGTAGAAATGTACAGCCTTGAAATACCGGTGAAGGGTCAGTAGTACTTGAAAATGATTGACAGCAATAAGTTTGAGCTGTTTTTGTTTTGGGTTATGTTTAAGTAGGAGCATAAAATGGGTTAGAGGGGCACTGGGCCATGAGCATCTCTCTGAAAGTGCAAGAGAAAGTGAGAATAACATAGGCTCACCACCCCAGAGCAGAAGGCAGATAAAGAGCCCAGCCTCATGGTGCCTGTAGAGCCGCACCAGCAGTAAGAGATTTGTTTATTTGTTGTTGACTCACAGAGTCACAGTTGTGGTGCTGAGAATGTAGGGTCTATTTAGGAAGTAAGTTGGAGAGTGGGAGAGGCAAAGAATATCATTCAATACAAGTTCAGGATTTATTAGCCCAAGTTCCAAGTTTCAGTTCAGCATTCAAATAGAAATCATCCAGCAAGGTTTATCTCAGAGCAGTTACAAGTCACCTCCTTTAAGCATTTGGCAAGAACAGCAAAAACCTTTAACTGTGGCCTGCACAAATGGAAGAAGTCTCAAGTCACACCTTACCACAGTTTCTACACAGCAGCATCTCAGTGCCTGCAGCACCACAGTCCCTATAGCACCATCACCAAGGCCTCACTCTTACCAGGGTCTTGCTGCAATCTCCCTCAAGTCTTGCTGCCATAAGTCTTTTCTTGCCTTAAGTTTTGCTTCTCAGTGTGAGAAGCACTCTTTGTCTTATCTTTATTGCACAGCTGTTGATGATTGCAAGACTATGCTGATTTGCAAGGCCATGTGTTTGCAGATAAGATAGTTAGCGACAGACCAGAGGGGGCTAAAAAAAGCCAACTTTTAGGCTAACACTGCCTCTATTAAATTTATTTTAGCATTTGCATACATATGTATAACCTTTGCATACAGGTCTACTAGTGAGATCGGTAACACAAAATTTCACTATATTTATTAATAACAATAAAAAGAAAATGCTTTCTTTGTAGAACTGTTAGAGAATTCCAATGTGAAGTTTAGTTAATTCATGTCTGTGTCTTTCCTTTTGATTATCACACACACACTACAGAATATTCAAAGTTAAAATGCCTCAGAAAACCTCCTAAATCTTAACATAAAGGATGGCAGAAGAAGAATTGATGCCTTTGAGCTGTGGTGTTGGAGGCAGGTACCATGGACTGCCAAAAGAACAAATAAATGTCTTGGAGAAAGTGCAGCCAAAGTGCTCCTCGTATGCAAAGATGATAAAGCTTCGTGTCACAGAGTTTGGACATGTTGCTAGAAGAGGGCATTCCCTTGGAGAGGGATAACGTGCTTGAAAATGTGAAGGGTCAATCAAAGAGGAAGACCCTCAACCAGATGAATTGACACAGTGACTGCCACAGTGGGCTCTAGTGTATCAGGAAGTGTGAGGTTGATACAGAATATGGACAAGGTTCAGACCTGTTGTTCATTGGTTGTAAGTCATATTCAGCTGTACCTTACAATAATGTGAAAGCCTCCTTTTCCGTACCTCGCCTGCTGTCTTCTGTCCTCATCACAGTGCTAGGTCACCAGTGGTGTCTTTATACTTTTTTAAATCATTCTTTTGGAAATAATTTTTTGTCTCTTGCTTTCTGTAACATTATCCTTCTGGATATTTTTCCCTCATTGCTACTTTTCCTTCAGCCAAGTTGCTGGTCCCTTTTCCTATGTTTACTTCTCAGCAGGAGTGCCACCTCTTTATTGTTCTCTGTAGGTCTGGGATTGTCAGTCTTTTGACTCCTTACCACAGGAAGAACTACATTTTATCTTACTGTTCAGTACATACCTGCAAATGTAACTGGAATGACAATCTTGCAGATGATATTTACTCTTCCATTTCCTTTCTCTTACAGTGCTAGTTGCAGCTCTAAATTGATTTTATGATTCATAGATCAAAGATGCTAAAAAAGACCACTCTAAAAGGATACACTGACAAAGAAGATTAATCAGAACTGGCTTTGACAAGCACTGTGGCATTTGGACAAGAACAAACTGGGAGGAGGGTAGAGAGAATAGTGCAACAATGAATGAGTGGAAGCCCAAAATCTCTGTAAATGTTTATGAAAATTAATAAAATATAGAAAAAAAAAAAAGACCACTCTAGCAATCTCAACAAGGCCCATGACTTTAAATACACCCCTTTGTCCAAGACGTCAAATTCTTAACCCAGCTATGAACTCTGTATTTTTAGACTTAGCTATCCAACTACCTCCTTTCTTTCCCTCTTCCCTTCCAAGCTTGCTTCTTTTTTTTTTTTTTTTTGTGGGTGTTTTTGGGTGTGGTTTTTCCCCCGCCCTTTCCCCTTGTTGTGTACCATCGAATCAGATCCGACTGGCACAGGAAGAGAATACCCCTCCTTCTCCAGTGGAGCACCTGGTGGATTCAAGCCACGTGCCTTTGGCATTGTGGTGCAGCTTCTTGCCAGTAGGCCACCAGAGCTCCCTTGCGTCTTATAATCTTTCTGTTCAAGGAAGTTGTATACTATTACTGTCGGCTCTTTTTTTTCCCCCTCCATTAATGACCTAATCCAACTCAGATATTATCTTTTGGACATTTATTATCACCTGCTAACCTTTTGTTTCCACACTTCATTCTCTGCACAGCCTGTATAGTTTTTTAAAAAATATAAATACAATCACTATTTCAAATAATTTTGATGACTTCACATTTCATTTATAATAAATATCAAGATTTTAATTTACATATATGAGCTGACTTTTGCCTGCCTCTTCAGTCGGCCTCATTCACTTTCTCTGGCTTGTTTCCATTGTCAAGTAGTTTCTTTTGTATTTCTCTTAGTGGTTTATTGTTTTATATAGGTAAAAATTGCATGCAAAAGGTGGCTTTGTCTTCTTTACTGTTGTATTCCTAATGCCTAAGATAGTTCTTGCTAATTTATTTTTTTGTTATATGCTTTTTTTTTAAAAGAAAATTATTTTGGGTGTTTTTTTTTGTTATATGCTTTTTAGTTAATTATACCTTACCAGTGACCCTGTGCATAGCGGATCTGAGCCTTCCCTAGGTCATTCTGTTTTGTTAAGAATCTTCCTCTCTTTTTCTGTGTCCTCCCCGTCTTTCCCAGCATGATGCCTTTTTCCAAGACTGACCCCTCCTGACATCATGCCCAAAATATGTGAAGTGAAGTTTCACCATCCTTGCTTCTAAGGAGCATCCAGGCTACACTTCATCCAAGACAGGTTTTTATGTTCTTTTGGCTGTCTGTGGGATGTTCAGTACCCTTCTCTAGCTCTACTAGTTCAAAGGCATTGGTGGTTCTTCTGTCGTCTTTATTCATGTCCAACTTTCAGATGTTTAGGAAGCAATTGAAAAGACCATGACTTAGATAACACATACCTTAATCTTTAAGCTGACATCATTGCTCTTTAGCTTTTAGGATAGGTCCTTGACAGCAGATTTTCCTGTTGCAACACATTTTTTATTTCTTGACTGCTGCTGTCATAGGATTTGATCATAGACAAAAAAGTAAGATTAAATCTTAGACGTCAATCTTTTCTCCCTTTATCATGATGTTGCGTATTGGTCCAGTGGTGAGGATTTTTCTTGATTTTTAGATATATGTTGAAGGCTGTAATCTTTGATCTTCAGTAACTGCTTAAAATCTTCACTTTCTGCAAGCAGAGTTATGTCTTCTACATAGTGCATGTTGATGTGTCTTCCTCCAATTCTTACACATTTTTCTTCATATAGTAGTATAAGCTTGCACATAGTAAGCTCTCTGTAAATATTCCTTAAATATTTATACTTTATATGAAAAGTCAGTGTGACATTGTGTTTCTAATAGCTGAATTGTTGTGTACCATCAAGTTGGAATGGACTCATAGCTGATTCTCCAGCAGATTTGAAGAGACAGTAAATCACACAGGAGGAGACTGCTCATCTTTCTCCTCTGCAGCAGCTGGTGGATTCAAGTTACTTAACTTTGGGGTGGCAGTGCAGTTCCTCACCTAGGCTGCCTCACTTTAGGTGGGCTATCTGTAAAAAATCATGCTACTTAATGGAGATTTCAGTGTAATGTGAACTCAGTTTACAGAACCAATGTAGGCTGCATTATAGCTGATAATATTTTGTTGTCTAATTTATGTATACATTTTCTCAACAGGCACAGGATTTGATGGGGATCAGTGCCTTGGAGTTCAGTTGCTGGAACTGGGGAGAAAGAAAAAGCAAATCCTCCATGGTGACCCTCTCCCTCTCTCAAAGAAATCCTATCTTGCATGGGTTGGATTTTCAGCTGAAGGCAAGAAAACTTATTTTGTATACTAACAAAGACATTATCAAGAAGAAAATTCTTCAAAGCTTTATTCTTAATTTCTTTAAAGATAAACAGTATTTTTTTTTTCTAAATTTCTTTATTTTAATATATTGGCAAAAGTGGAAACTGGTATTATTAGGTGAAGTAGCCCTTGTTTTGTGTGTGAAAGCTCTTTTTTTCCTCATGAGAATTCTGATTAGGTAACTTCCAAAGTGGAATTTTTAAGTGTCTGGAGTTGCACTGTCTGCTGTGGTATCCACTGACCACATGTAGCTACTTAGCCCTTGAAATAGAGTGAATCTGAAATGAGCTATAGCGTAAGCCTAAAATAAAGATACTCTGAATTTTGAAGACTTAGTTTGAAAAAAGAAAGTAAAAATCATAATAATATTCCTATTATGTTGGTTTCACATTAAAGTGTTATTAATTTGGATATAGTGGGTTAGATCATATTGTTAACATTAGTTTCACTTCGAGTTACTTTGAAAATGTGTCTCCTCTTGTGAGTTGACATCAATTTGATTTCAATTCTTGGCATAGTAGTAAATAGAGTTTAAAAGCTGTGACTTTTCAGAAGCAGATCAAGGTAACTTGTCTGTAAGTGGTTCACATCACCACGGTTTTTTGTTAGTAGTTCAGTGCTTAACTATCTGTACCTATGGAGTATGTTATTGTTGTGTGCTGTTGAGTTGGAACCTAGTCATAGTTGACCCTTTGGTGCATTTTCAGAGCCTATAAATTGGACAAAAGGAGATTCCCCATCTTTCTTTAGAGGATGTAGTGGAGTTGAACCTCTGGCCTTTGGATTGGCAGTGCAGCTCTGTACCTCGTAGGCCACCAATGTGCCTATTGTGTATATAAAATTACAAATTATATTTGTGACTCACATTGTAGCTCTATTGAATAGTATGACATAATTTTTGAGCTCTGGTGGCCTAGTGGCAAGAAGCTGCTCTACAATTTTGAAGGCACGCAGTTTGAGGCCTCCAGCTGCTCCGCAGGAGAAGGATGGGTAATACTCTGTACAGTTAACTGCATCTGAAAACCTGCTGGAGGGTCAGCCATCAGTTGGTTCCGACCCGATGGTAAACAGCAACAACATACATCATTTTAATAGTAGTTTATGACTCTGGTAGCATAGTCTGTAGGGGGTGGCACTGCTGACTCAAATGTGGCACCTCCCTGCAGAATCACAGCTATTGGTAGCTTTGTAGAGAAAGATATTTCTAGGTATATTTTCATTGTTGTTGTTGTTGTTGAGTATTATGGAATCAAACCAACCAAAGTTTACCCTCCAGAGGATTCTCAGAGGCATTTAATCAAACTTGAGGAAATGTCCTGTCTTTCTCCAGCAGAGCAGCTAGTGGATTTGAACCTTACACTTCTGTTTGCCAGCGCAGCTCTTTACCACTCAGTGACCAGAGTTCCCTATTTTCCATTAGGATATTATTAATTATTTATACTTTAGTAATGTGGCCATTTTTGCAGTGTCTCCCACCCACCCCCCAGCACTTACCAGATCCAGACTGTGAGGAAACATATGTACTAAGTGACCAGGGTATGAAGAAAGGGACAGTAAGAGAAGGAGTAATTAGGTAGTCTGTGTGCTTCTTGAGATGGAGACAGAGTAAGTGGGAAATGAGGGGCTTACCTGTTTTCTTAGGTAAGAATTGCTGGGGACAGGATAGTATCTAGGCCAAAATGGAGAGGAAGGAAGAAGATCACAAGAGAAAAATTTGTGTCAGGTTTTGGTCATTTATCTGAGAACTACCTCTTTTAAGAAGTAATACTAATGTATTCCAGCAGGTGGCGAGGTTTAGTTTTCACAGAAAGGTATCTTATCCCTTTGGTAAATTGTTAACTAGTGTGTCTCTTTTTGGTCTATAGGTACCCCCTGTTATGTCGATTCAGAGGGCATCGTTCGAATGCTTAATAGGGGCCTTGGTAATACATGGACTCCTGTGTGTGACACAAGAGAGCACTGCAAGGGGAAGTCTGATCACTACTGGGTCGTTGGTATCCATGAAAACCCACAGCAGCTGAGGTGGGCTCTTAAACACCCATGCTTCAAGTGAACTATCTATTTTTTTAAAAAGTACTGTTTATCTTTTCTCTTGGTCCAGTTACTTCCCTTCCAAAAGCATCAGAGTAAGCATTTGTTTATATTCTTAAAATTTCTGGCCAGTTTAGTCACTTAAAAATCACGGAACAAAATAGAAGTAGCGTTTATTAGTGTGACCTTAGCATCATTTTAGGCAGCCACGGTTGAGGATTATTTCTGGTTAAGAAAAACATTTCACCTTTAAATTTACTGTCTTTTATTTTTAAATCTGACTTAGCTGCTTTTATGAAATTGTAGCTTCTTTTTTTTTTTTAAACAAGGGTCAGAGATGGTACAAATTGACAACAATAAATAATTTATTCTTTCTCTCATTACTACCAAGTTGGAAATGACTCATAGCTGGCCCTCCAATGGGTTTTCAGAGGCTATAAATTGCACGAGAGGAAATGACTTACCTTTCTCTTGCAGAGCAGCTGGTAGATTCAAACTGCTTGCATCTGGGTTGGGAGCACAACTCCTTACACTTTAGGCCACCTGAGCTTCCTAGGGCAATGATAATAGTCATTTTTTGATACCAGGTAATGGAGAATATTCATGATAACTAAAAGCTTATATAGCCCTAAGAATTATATTTTTAAAGTCAACTCATTACTAATTATATTATCTACATGCATGTAAAAATTCCTGTGCATAAAATAAAATTTGTTTTGTGTGCTTCTTTCAGTCTTTAAGAAGTTCATCATGCATATCTTAGCTTTTGTTATTATAATAGAAATATCACAAATGAGCTTTAACTAGTAGTTTATTTTTGTATAGTTTAGCAAGTCTAATTTCAGGGCACCAACTCTCAAGGCCCCTGTATTTTCCTTTTTTCTTTCTTTCCTTTTGTTCCAGATGAAAAATCCCATCTCCACTGCTGTAGCTGTGGAGTTCCAAGATCCAGAGGTGGCCATCTCTGTCTCTTTCTCCCATTTGTACTTACTTGTCTCTGTACATCATGTGCTCTTTCTTGGTAAACAATTATTAGGTCGAAGACACACTCACACTGATGTGACCTTATTAATTTAACAAAGAAAACCTTCTTTTCCAAATGAAATTACACTCACAGGTATAGGTATTAGGATTCTAAAACATTTTGGTGTCACAGTTCAGTCCATAGTGTAGGCCCTTTGTAGTCTCAGAGTAGCCACACAGTAATTAAAAGGTACAAAGAATTGGAATGACTCATTTCTTTTGGTTCATTTCCCCTCTGCTCCCCCCACCACAGTCTTCCACTATCCTCTCCAGTTTTCCCATAAGAGAGAACCAGTGTTTGAAAATAAAAAGTACTTTGCTGAGATCACCCACTTAGTGGCAAAAAAGTTTTAGTTTTGTATTGAAATAAAGATTGAAAGAATGAGCACATCTCACTGACAGATCAGTTTATTATAAAAGAATAATTAAATTACTCAGGAGAGTCTTACACAAAAGACACTTAATATGCAGATATTTTCAGAACTAAGTACTGCTTTGAAACATCAAGAAGATATGTTCATGGACATGTATTTGCATATAATGTGGTAAATTGATTTCAGGGTCGTTTGGATTTTGTTTTGTGGGGTTTTAAAAAAAATTTTGTGGTTTTGTTTTCCCCATCCTAAATTTTTCTGATTTTGTTCTGGAAGAATAAACTTGGAAAAGTTTTTTTTTCCAATTGTAAGTGAAGTCAGTAAATTTTTTTATAAGCTTTGCTTTTACATAGACACATCTAGAAGTAATTAATATTTTTTTCCATACATCCTTATGGAAAGTGAAGAGTATTTGAAACAATGAAGAAGATTAAACACTACAGTGTTACAGTCTTCAATATGGGTTATACCTCAACATAAAGAAAACAGAAGTCCTTAAAATTGGACCAGTTGGCAGCATCATGTTGAATGGAGAAAAGATTGAAGTTGTCTATTATCTCATTTTACTTGGATGAGATCAGGTACTTTGAGAGTAATATACGAGTATAAGCTCCTGTTACTTGGATCTGCAATTACACCTATCAAAGTAGCAGTCAAGAAATCAAAAGATACATTACACTGGGCAAATCTACTGTCAGAGATCTCTTTAAAGTGCTAAAGAGCAACTTGGAGAGTAAAGTGGGCTGACACATACCATGATATTCTGATTTGTTCCATATGCTTTTGAAAGTTGAACGATGAAGAAGGAAGACCTAAGAAGAATTTTGATTGAGGCCCTTGATTTGTGTTGTTGGCAAAGAATATTGTATGTACTGTGGACTTTCAGAAGAACAAACAAATCTATTGAAGGAAGCAAAGTCAAAATGTTCCTTACAATTGAGAATGGAAAGACTTCTCATCACATACTTAGGACATGTTACAAGGAGGGAGCGGTTCCTGGAGGAAGACACCATGCTTGGTAAAGTGAAGTTAACAAACGAGAAAGAACCTCGTGAGATGGATTGACATAACAGCTGCAACAGCAGAAATGATGAGTATGTCAGAGAGGGGGCAGAGTTTCATTCTGTTGACCATAGAATTGGTATGAATCAAAATTCATCTATCACACCTAAAAACAAGGACACATTTTGGGAGTTCCTGGATACCCCATATAGTTAAGTGCTTGACTGCTAGCCAAAAATTTGGTGGTTCCAGTCCACACATGTGCCTCAGAAGACATATCTGACAGTCTTCTTCCAAAAGGTCCATGACATTGAATGGGTAATCTCTTCTCGTATGATTAACTGCCTCGGAAAGAAAATCCTCTGAACAGTGAACTATGGGTTGGTTCTGCTAGATAGCACACAACAGCAACAGCTTTGTATATAGGGGTCATCATGAGTCAGAATTAGCTCGATGATGACTAACAAAAATCATTAACAACAATACGATTTTCTTGCTGTCTTTGTTTAAACCTGTTAGCTTCGTATTTAATGGTAAATGGCGCCTCCTCTTTTGAACTGTTTCTTTTAAGTGTAGTTTCTAATATAGACTCAGCAGTATTTGTATTTTCTCTTTGGTCAGGAATCTTTTTATTACTACATTTTTAGGACTACATTTTATTACTGTTTTTGAAAATTGTCTTGTTAAAACACCTATCATTATTTACAAATATGAAAATTACTCTTCTCTGATACTCTCGCTCCTGCTTTCTTTAAAATATACTGTAGTTTAGCAAAATACCTTTATTTTGTCCTCTAAAGAACTTTTCATGATCACTACTGGTTGATGCATAACAAAGAGTTAACTAATTTTTCTGTACTATAGCCTAATTTACACTCTTGATACCAGCAGTCAGGAAATAAGGAGACACATTGCACTGGAAATATCTGCAGTTAGGGACCTCTCCAAATTGTTGAGGGGTAATGATGTCACTTTGACTACTAAGATGCATCTGATTCAGGTCATAGTCTTTCCGATCACTTGCTGTGCATTTGAGAGCTGGACAGTGGGTAAAGATGACAGAAGAATTGATGCCTTTGAGCTTTGTTGTTTGGGAAGGGCACGAAACATCCCATGGACAGCCAAGAGAACAAATATGTTTTGGAGAGGGTGCAGCCAGTGCTCTTTGGCCGCAAGAGTGATGAGGCTTCGCCTCACATACTTTGTGCATGTTGCTAGGAGGGCTATTCCTTGGAGAGGAGGAACATGATGCTAGAAAGGATGGAGGATTGGCAAAGGAGAGGAAGACCCTAAACCAAGTGGATTAACATGGTGACTGCTGCATGTAGTGTGTCTGGAAGTGTGAGGATGGCACGGGATAGAGTAGGGTTCAGATCTTTTGTTTATAGGGTTGCTATGAGATGTACTCAACTTGACAGTACCTAATAGCAACATGAGGGAAGGAATTGACATGATTCTATGTACTTATACAGTGAGGTTCATTCCCCTCACCCCCATTTCCTGTCCTAAGTGATTTTGCTACAAAACTTCCAGGAATTTTCAACCATAACAGGGAAAAATCACCAAATCAGTAGTTAGAATGGACTTGTTTTCCCATTTCCTTCGCCAAAGAACTAGTTAAAAGAGAAAATGTCTTTTTCATTTAAGTCCCTAACACTAAGAAAGATAAAAAGTTCAAAATGGCTCTGTGCTTGGATAAAATTTGGTTTAGAAAACAATTATTGCTAAAACCTCAATCAGTATTTCCTTTTTTAAAAATAATTTCCTGTCCATTGCTGCTGAATTACATCCATCTCCTAGCACCTTACAGGGGAGAGTAGAACTTCCTTGTAGGGTTTTCAAGGCTCTGATGTTTCAGAAGTGGACTCCTGCCTCTACAGAGGAGCAGCTGGTACATGCAGACTGCTAAACCTTTACCCTCCTACCACCAGGGCTACTTACTGTAAATCAGTATGGTATTTGAGCTGTAAAATATTTTTAAAGAAGGGAGTAGAAGTAATTTTAAAAGATGGGGGAGAACACCTAAGCATTTAACATCTTTCCAAATGTTCTTCCTCTTTTTGTTAATATAGATAACATAATTGGATTCAGCCTTTCTGAATGCATGTGCACTGTTTTTTCTATCTTGCATGATTAGTAAATTAGTGAACTTTTTAATAAGTACATAAGAACTGCCATGAGATATTTTTCCAAAGTATTCATGTTGCCTCCTTACACTGTGTGGTTTAAAACTTTATGAAATTAGAAATGGACCTGTATGCAATCTTATGGTTTTTCCTATAATTTTTAACACATAAATTGAACATGTTGTATGCATATAAGTCATTACATGATAAATAATTTTTAATTAGTAAATTATATTCGCATTCTTCATGTTGGGCATCTTGGAATGCCTTTTGGTCAGAATTTTTACAGTTCTTGCTTTTGAAACTATTGCCACATAAAGTAATCCTTATTTAACAGAGCAAGTAAAAATCATGACTTTTTAATTGATACCTGATTTTCACACACACATCCTTACTATAATAAACATCTATAAGTTTCATTTTATCAGTTTATCATATTTGATATTTTCTATCAATAATACCAATAATCCCAGACTGAAAAATGAAAGCTCAAATTTCTGTTTTATTATATCTTCCATGACTAGTATTTATGGTATAATTTATGTAATTTAATAATTGACATTTGTGACCAAGAAATAATCACCAAGAATAAACTCAGGGTCCTGCAGTAGCAGAGTTTGACAAGAGGAAATCCAAGGTGTAAAATTTCTAAGACAGGCCCAGCCTGCAGAGGCTGAAGAAACAAGAGTTTTTCTCCAGAACTGACACAGAAAAGGCTGACCCGGAGAGTATGTCCCCCAAATTTCTACTTCTGGCATCCTAAAATGTAATTTAATAGAATTGTGAGTGAGTAAATAAAATTGCCCATTTGCTAAGTAAAATATGAAGGAAGTTGATGTCATTGATGTGTTAACAGTACTTTTTTAAAAGCAGAGCTTTTAAAATTCTAGACAGGCAAAGGCATAGTTTTTATGCCTAAATCAGGCCTAAAAAAGGAGTTTGTTTTGTATTATTAAGCCAGTTATTAGAATAATACTATCCAGCTTACTAACTTTTTGGAAATGTTAACTGTTTTTGTGCCATTTTTACAAAGATTTGATGATGAAACTTTCTCTTTGGCAGGTGCATTCCTTGTAAAGGGTCCCGGTTTCCTCCCACCCTTCCACGACCTGCCTTGGCCATATTATCCTTCAAACTTCCATACTGTCAGACTGCAACAGAGAAAGGACAAATGGAGGTGTGTGAAGAGTGGACTTTGACTTTGACATTTAGGATTTAATAATACATTGCCTGAAGCAGACATTTAAAAACTACCTTGAAGGCCATCATTGAGCATTTATCACTTAGCAGATAAATAGTGGATATTGATTAAGTGTTGTTGAATCAGTTATGACTCACGATGTGACCTTATAAACAATAGACTGAAACATTCCCTGGCCTTGCACCATCCTCATATTCATGGCAATGTTTGAACCCAGTTTGCAGGCACTGTGCAAATCTGTCTGACGCTCTCCTTCTCCAGACGTGTTATCCTCCAGTGACTGGTCCTTCTTGATGATTTGTCCAGAATACATGAGGCAAAATCTTGCCACCTCACTTCTGACTGTACTTCTTCTGAGGTAGCTTTTGTTCTCTGGCAGTCCATTGTATATTTGTCACCAATGCCATAACTTATTTGCATCATTTCTTCTTCAGTCTTTGCTGGTTTTTTCTCCAGTTTTCACATACATATTAATTGATTGAGAAGAATATGGTTTGTGTCAGGCATGCATTAGTCCTGAAGGTGATATCTTTGCTTTTTGACACATTAAAGCAGTCTTTTGAGACAAATTTGTTAAATAAAGTATGTTGTCTGATTTCTTGGCTGCTATTTTCATGAGTGAGTGTGGATCTAAGTAAAAGGAAATTCTTGGCAACTCCAATTTTTGTTTATCACGGACTTATTATTAAGAGCTAGAAGGTCCAGTTGTGAGGATTTTTGCTTTATGTTGAGATATAATCAGTATTGAAGGTAGTGAGTGGTCTTCAGATCTTTAAGGCCCAGTGCTGCAAGTCCTTTTTGCTTTTACCATGTAAGATTGGATCATTTGCACATTACAGGTGGCTAATGGGTCTTCCATCTTGAGTAAAGCTTTACTTGAACCTGATATTAATGATGTGTTTCTTTTGCATTCTGTTGGGTCACTGTTGGGTGGTTCTGGGTTTTTTTTGGCTTGTTTTGTTTTTAATAGGCACAGATATAACTATCTTACAGTCAGTTGGCCAAGTAGCTATCTTCCAGTTTCGTGGTATGAACAGTCAGCACTTCCATTGTTGCATCAGCTTTTTACAAACCTCTCACTTCCTAGAGTTTTTTCTTTTCATGACTACAGCTTGGACTTCTTTCTTCAATACCATTGTTTCTTGATCATATGCTACCACCAAAAGTAGTTGAAGAATGATCAAGGTTTTTTTAGTATAGTGACTCTGTATTCCTTCCCTTTTCTGGTGACACTTACTGTGTTATTAAATATTTCACCCATAAATCCTTCAGGGTTGCAGCAAGGGGCTTGAATTGTTCAGATTTTTTTTTCAGCTTGTGAAATGCTGAGCATATTCTTTCTCCCTTTTAGTTTTTATTTTTAGCTGCAGATATTTGCATATTTCATCTTACTTTAAACTTTATTCTTGAGCTGCCCTTCAGAATCTCCTTTTCAGCTTTTTTACTTAATTATGTCTTTCATTTGCTTTAGCTATTCTGCTTTCTAGAGTAAATTTCAAAGCCTCTTCTGACACTCATTGTGATCTTTCCTGTCTCTCATGACCTTATCTTTCTTCTTGTAGGATGTCCTTAATGTCATCCCACAACTTATCTAGTCTTCAGACATCAGTATTCCGTGGTGTTTGTTTTGTTTTTGTTTTTGTTTTTTTTTCTGTGTGTACCATCAAATTGGATCTGACTGGTACAGGAGACGATTGTTCCTCTTTCTTCAGCAGAGCATCTGGTGGATTTGAACCGCGTACTTCTGGGATTGCAGTACAGTTTCCTGCCACTAGGCCACCAGTGCTCACCAGTATTCCGTGTTTTAAATATATTCTTTAGAATGTTCTCTATTTCAGGTGGGAAATTAATAGTATTGTTTTGACTCTTGTACACTTGTTTTCATTTTTTTCAGCTTCAATCTGAACTTGCAGAGGAGTAGTTGATAGTCTGTTTCACAGTCAGCTCCTGTCCTTGTTTTGATAGATTAATTGATATTTCCTGTTATCTCTTTTCACACATGGATTTTATTTCATTCCTGTGTATTTTGTCTGGTAAATATGTGTGGTGGCTGTATTATTGATACAGATATTACCAGTTAATAGGTCTGTAGTCTTAAACAGTCTGTTATGTGCTCTTTTTAGTGTTGTATCAAAAGTCATATATATTTTCTAACTATCATTGATCTTCTTTGTTCTCAACTTTTGCATTCTAGTCACTAGCAATTATCAATGCATCTTGTTTGTAGGTCTGATCAATTTCTTATTGCAGTAGTTAAAAAATTATTTTCTTCATTTCTCACTAGATTTTAAGTCTGAGTTTCTTTATTAATGGGTCTTTCTTTTAAGCATGTGTATTATCCTATCAGTGACAACAAACAGGTCTGTTCTGGAGAGGGTGAAACCAGGCTGCTCCTTGGAGGCAAGGATTTTGAAGCTCCATCTGACATACTTTGGGCACATGGTCAGTAAGGACCAGTCCTTAGAGAAGGACATTGTGCTTGGAAGAGTGAAGGGACAGTGTAAGAGAGGAAGACCTGGATGACATGGATTGACACTGTAACAGGGGTAATGGGGCTAGGTGTGTCAGAGACTGTGAGATTAATTCAAAATAGAGCAGTATCCAAAGCTGTTATACATAAGGTTTCTGTGAGTCACAAGCAGCTCAAAAGCACATAACAGGAACAACAGTTACCCTATTACTGAGAGGATTATACTTCTAAATAGATACTGAAATGTTCTTTTTGATGATGAATGTGACTCCATTCTTATTCGATTTACCATTCCTGATATTGTAAACCATGTGATTATATGACTAAAAGTGGCCAAATCTAGTCAATTTCAGCTTGCTAAGACCTAGGATGGCAATCTTTATGCATTCTGTTTCATTTTTGACAACTTAGAATTTTCCTTAATCATACTTTGTATATTTTACATTCTGAATATTAATGGATGCTTGTATTTGCTTTTTTTCTCAATGGATCTTGCCACATCACCAAGTAGAGTTCCTCCATATATGTCATTAACTCTCCTTTGAGAAGGCAGCTCTTCCCTAGTCATATTTTGAATGCTTTATAACCTGAACAGTTCTCTTCTGACACTATATCAGATAATGCTCCACCACTATTCATGGTGCTATCATCGACTATCTCCCCACTCCATCCCCTGAGTAGATGAATAGGTCCTTCTTAGTTATTGAAACCCAGGTGAGCCTACTGGTATTTAATATACTGATGGGATGACTTCCAGTACCACAACACAAAAGCCACTGAAGTATGACAGAATAATGGCGACATCAACAAAGAAGACTGCTTGTTGTAGTCACTGCTTCTAGGGCCTCTGGCAGTCAGGTAAGTGGATATGCCCTTCAGAACTGCACTGGCATCAGGCTTACACCCTTGGCGTCGTGTCAGTCAGTGCCTGAGAGAGCCTGTCCATGGTCATGAACTTGCTTCACCCTAGACCTCACCATATCATTAGAAGTTATTTGATATCTTGAAATTAGCTGATCTAAATAACAATTATTTCCGCTCCTTGAAAAGTGTGTAATTGTGTTCTTTAGCAACTCTCTTAACTGGGAAAACTGTTTATAAGCTTCGTGGTTTTATTTGTATTTCAAAAAAAGATAATTGCAGTTGAATTGTAAGAGAAGCTATAGAAAGTAGGAATTTCAGAAAATCAGCTCAAATAGCTGCCTAATTAATATTAAGGTAAGAGTTGGTTCTAAGTAATTTTTCTTCTCTTTATAGGAACAGTTTTGGCGTTCAGTTATGTTTCACAACTACCTTGATTATTTAGCTAAAAATGATTATGAATATAAAGAGAGTACTAAAACTCAAGCAGTAAGGGAGCAACAGGAGCTTTTAATAAAAATGTTTGCGGTAAGTAAGATTAATAAGCTGAATGCTGTGTAGTTTTCTGTTTGTTTTTAATTTTAAGTTCTAATACTAAAATTTATAGGTCGGTAAATTTTTTCTCTAAAATATTAAAGTTTATTTTTTACTTTTGTCAACCTATTAAAAAGTATAAGGGAGCACTGGTGCGGTTCAAATCCACCAGATGCTCCACTAGAGAAGGAGGGGCAAACTACTTCTGTGCCAGACAGATCTGATTTGACGTTACACCAAATTAAAAATAAAAAATAAATAATTTTTTTTAAAAAGTAAACTTTTTGATGTTGAGACTATAGAGAGCAAAATATACAGCTGTTCAGCACACTCTTGATGTACAATTTTGTGATGTTAATTACATCCATTGAGTTGCACAATCATTCTCACCCTTTTTATATTGAGGGACTTATTACTTTCTCATTCATGTAAACTAGCTGCCTCTTAAGTATCCTATCTAATAACATTTTATCAATGTTTCCATTTGCTCTCATATACATAGTTTTGGGTTTTTTTATTAATTTTAATGAGCATTTACAGAGATTTTGGATTTCCATTCATTCTTTGTTGCACTTTTCTTCCTTCCCAGCCCTCCCCCTCCAGTTCGCTCCTCTTTTTGAAAAGTTGTTATGCAATCCCTCGCACCCCTCCCACCGCCCCGAGTACACTCCACTATGCAACCTTAACTCTGGACTCTTGTGATAACCATAATACCCTATCATATATGGCTTTTATATTATTCTCTCCCTAATCTGTTTGGATGCAGTATACATAATTTATCCAGTATTTCTCAGTCTTAGCCCAACCCTGATGTCAGTCCCATTCTACAACAGTGGCACCAGGCAGTATTTGCCCTTTTGTGACTGAGGTACTTCACTCAGCATAATTTCCTCCATGGTTACCCATTTTGAATAATATTTCATGAGTTCCTTGTTTTTCAGTTCAGCATAGTATTCCATTGTGTAAATATACCACAGCTTCTCTATCCATTCATTTGTTGATGGGCACCTGGGTTGTTTCTAACTCCTTGCTATTGTGAACAAAGCCACAATAAACATGGGTGTGCATATATCTGCTTGGGTGGCAGTTATGATCTCTTTGGGGTATATTCCCAAGTAGTAGCATTGCTGGGTCAAATGGTATCTCTATTTGCAACTTTTTGTGAAAGCGCCATACTGCCTTCCACAGTGGCTGCACCATTTTACACTCCCACCAACAGTGAATAAGAGTTCCAGTTTCTCCACAACTTTGCCAGCATTTGTTGCTTGCTGTTCTGTTAAATTTTGCTATTCTGACTGGGATGAGATGATATCTCATAGTTGTTTTGATTTGCATCTCTCTTAGACCTAGGGATTTTGAACATTTCTTCATTGTTGGCCATCTGAATGTCATGTTCGGTGAAGTGTATATATATAGTTCTTGAGCATGATGCTCAAGATAGATAACTTTTTAAACTAGATTAACTTACTGTTCATATTTAAGATTATTTCAGAGGCTACTTTTGGTTTAAAGTTTAAAAATTATCTTAGGACACTAGTTTCAGGGATTCATTTGCTTTTCATGAGTGCAAAAGAGTATAGAGCGCATGAGAATATAAAAATCTGTTCTTTATTTCCCCTCCCCTTTTGGTCATTATTCTTTTTTGAAATCTTTGTACAAAATGTCCACAGTAATGGAATCCAGTTCTTCAGGTCTCGTAGCAAAGGAGACAGTTGTTCATAGAACAATTAGCCACACATTCCATATCCTCCTACTCATCAGTTGCCTTTTCAATAGTAGCTTGTTCTTTTGCTTTGTTTTATTTTTTCAATTTGTTTCCCTGCTGATATGAAAGTATTGCTTTGTTTCTAGGTTTATATGGCAGACATAAATTTGTGTAGTGCTGCCTTGTCTTTTCCTTTTCCTATGACCTAAAGACTCCTGCTAAATGATGTCTAAGGTCAGTGATTCTCAATTTGGCTGAACATTATATCACTAGAAAAATACTGTGATATAGTTGGTATGAGTTAGGAACTTCACATATTAGTTGTTGACTTCCTTAGGTGATTCAGATGTGCTCCCAGAGTAGAGAATCCTTGTGCTCTAGACCCAAATCCACTGATGTTAGTTGATTTAAAGTCACTGTGTCCCTATTAATACCAAGAACTGTGTTGTAGTGTTTCTAAGGCTGTAACAGTTTCTAAGGCCTTTCAGCCAACCCCTTGCCACCCCCTATTCTACTATCCTACTCACCAGCAGTGTCTGTTACACCTGGAAACTGGTTAGAAATGAAAATTCTTAGGTTATGCCCCAGCTAGCTCAACACATCCTACAGGAAAGTGTGAGATGCTAAGGCAAGTGAGAGGATTCCAGCTCTTGCTCCTACTGCTGTTAAACTTGGTAAATAACATTTTAATGCAGGTTTGTTTTTTGATCTCCAGTGTTGGGTAGTTTTCAGAGTTTTGATCAGATTTGTAGCTATGCTTGCCTCATGGCATCTTTTTGCAAATTAGGCCTCTTTGTGTAAGGAAAGTTCGTCTGCAGCTTGGAATCAGGATTAGTGCTTTATGTATTTCAGTACATTTATCTATGGGACATTTTCTCTTCAAGTTTATATGTTTGTGTTTTCACTCTAAATTTGTTTATAAAGAAGAATATAATATAGTTTCTTCTCTACTCATTTTGCATGAGACTATAAGGCCTTGTTCACTGTTGTATGCTTAATATGACATAGTGCCTACTACATAATAAAAACAAACAAAAATCTCCGTGAGTTACATAGTGAAACAGTTCCACTAAGTTTTCATGGCTATCACTCTAATGAAGGCAGATCTCTAGACCTTTCTAATACTGGTTAGGTTTGAAGTACCAGTCTTTGGATTTAGTGGTTGAACACAAACCGTTTACACCCTGAATATGCTTACTAACCTATGTCAAGAAATTTGAAAGATAGCTACCTGGCCCCATGGATGAGACCCATATTTGGTTCCATTCCCAAAAAAAAAGAGACCAAACAGAATGTGGAAATTATCAAACAGCATTATTAACAACAACAACATAGAGAGAGCTCTGTTGGCCTAGTGGATAGAATGTTATGCTACCAGGCCAAAGGTGGGTGATTTTAATCTGTGACCTTCAGACCTGGTTTTAATTGTTTTTGGTCAAACATTCTTCTAAGTGGTATAGCACTGGTCTGTCCATTTGCTATACAGAGGTAACACATGGTTGCTGTGATGCCAAACACTGTGACACTGATGTGTCAAGTGCGATAATGGTTACCTATAGTGGACAGTGTTTGGTGGAGCTTCCCGATTAAAGCAAGCAGGGGTGGCATCCACTTCCTAAGTAGTTTGCCTCCAGAAACTCTACGAACTTGGAGAAACAATAAAAGTTATACAAGTATTCAGGTCTTTCATTCATAGGATCACTATGAGTCATTTATGGCTTGACAGCACTTAACAACAACATCATCATTAATATCACCTTCACAAAAAATCTTGCTGAAGCCTTCACAAACAGCTTGAACAGTGAGTGCATTGACAAGAAACTGGTAGAAATTCAAGCTGTGTTCACAGGAAGCCATGGAAGGAAGGCTATCACTACTTACATCAGGTGGGTCTTGGCTAAAAGGACAGAATACCAGAAATATGGTTACATGTGCTTTATTGACTTTGCAAAGGCATTTAATGTGTGGATCATAAAAAGATGTGGCTTTTCTATTCAAGGAGAAGAGTGAATTGGGGGGAAGGGATGGGTAGAGAGAAGTGCAACAATGAATGACTGGAAACCCTAAGTCTCTGTAAATTTTCATTAAGATTAATTTTAAAATATTGTGGCTAATATTAAGAATAATGGGAATCTCAGTACACTTACTTGTACTCATGTGAAATCTATACATAGACCAAGAAGCTGTGATCCAAACAGAACAAGAGAACACTGTTGTTGTTGTTGTTGTTGTTATGTGCCATCGAGTCGCTTGCGACTCATAGTGACCCTATGTACAACAGTCCTAAACTCTGCTCTATCCTGTGCCAATCGCATTGCCTCTGACACACCCATCCCGATTACCCCAGTCACTGAATCAGTCCACCTCATAGAGGGTCTTCCCCTCCTGCGCTGTCTCTCCACCCTACCAAGCATGATGTCCCTCTCCAAGGACCTCTCTCCTTACGACATGTTCAAAGTATGTCAGACGAAGCCCCACAATCCTTGCCTCCAAGGAGTAGCCTAGTTTAACCCTCTCTAGGATGAATCTGTTTTCTTGGCAGTCCATGGTACATTCAGCACTCTTCTCCAGCACCACAGCTCAAAGGCATTAATTCTTCTATCCTCCCTAGTCATTGTCCAACTCTCTGATGCATAACAAGTGATTGCAAAGACCATGGTCTGTATCAGGTGTACCTTAGTCTCCAGAGAGACACAGTTGCTCTTGAGTACTTTAAAGAGGTCCCTAACAGCAGACTTTCCCATCACGATACGTTTTTTTATTTCCTGGTTGCTGGTGCCAATAGTATTGACCGTAGAACCGAGCAGACTGAAGCTGTGAACAATCTCAATCTCTTCGCCATCCATCCTGATGCTGCCAATTGGTCCAGTGGTGAGAATCTTTGTCTTCTTGACATTGCGCCTCAGCCCATACTGAAGGTTGCAGTCCTTGACCCTCTGCAGCAAGTGTATCAGGTCCTCCTCAGTTTCAGCAAGCAAGGTTGTGCCATTTGCATAACACAGATTGTTAATAGCTCTTCCACCAATCCTGACGCCACACTTCTCCTCATAGAGCCCAGCCTCTCGGATAATCTGCTCTGCATACATGTTGAAAAGGTATGGAGATAGGACACATCCCTGATGTACACCCTTCCCAATTTTGAACCATGTCGTGTTACCTTGCTCTGTTCTGACGACTGCCTCTTGGTCCAAGTATAGGTTTTGCATTAGCATGATTAAATGTTCTGGGATTCCCATTCTTCTCAGAGTCAGCTACAGTTTGCTATGATCTACATTGTGTAATTTAAAATCAATCAGGAAAGGTGTATTTCAGAATTGTATCCTTTCTCTATACCTGTTCAATCTGTATGCTGATCAAATAGTTTGAGACGACATTGGACCATGTAAAGAAGAATATGGCATCAGGATTGGAGGAGATTCATCAACAACCTACATTATGCAGATGACACAACCTAACTTGCAGAAAGTAAAGATGATGTTAAAGACTAACTACAGAACATCAAAGACAGACTTTGGTAGGAGTTACATCTTAATATCAAGAAAACAAAAACCATTGGTTGATTAGGTAGCATCATGGAGGGTAAAACTTTGAAGATGTCAATGGTTTCGTTTTACTGGGATCCACAATTAGCACTCGTGGTAGCAGCAATGAAGAAATCAAAGATGTATTGCATGGAGGAAGAAAAAGACCAAAATGGATTTTAGAAGAGACTCTGAATATTGCACTAGAGCACCAAGAAGCCAAAGCAAAGGGAAGAAAGCAGGAAGTTAAAGAGCTGATCAGAAGATTTCAAAGTATATCTCAGGAAGAAAAAGTATAATGAAATGTACAAAGAGCTGAAATCAGAAAATCATTTAAGCTGAAGGAACTGAAGAACAAATTCAAGTTTTGAGTTGCAGTACTTAAGGATGGGCTCTAGTGACCTAATGGCAAGAAGCAGCAGTGTAATCTGAAAGGCATACGGTTCAAATCCACCAGTTGCTCTGCAGGAGGAGAATGCACAGTCTCCTCCCGTGTAACTAACGGGTTGGAGGATCAGCTATGGATTGGTTCTACCTCTACAGTACACAACAACAACATGTACTGAAATTGATTGAACCAGGGATCATTAAAAGAAGATGAAAAGAGTACACATCACTGAACCAAAAAGAATTGGCTAATAACAGAATAATTTAATGAAACAGCATATGATCAAGAGGCAATGGTACTGAAGGACAACGTTCAAGCCACTCTGAAGAATTGGCAAAAATCAAGCCCCAGGAATTGGTAGAATACCAGTTAACGTATTTCAACAGACAGACACTGGCCTTGATGCACTCTCCAGCTTGAGCCAAGAAATCTGTAAAACAACTGATTGGAAGAGATCTATAATTACTCTTATTCCAAAGAAAAGGTGACCTGACAGAATGTAGGAATTATTGAACACTATCACTGATATCACATGCACGTAGAATCCTGCCGAAGATTATCCAAAAACGACTGGAATCTTGGCTGAAAACAAAGAGCACCAGAATCTATCTGTGCTTTATTGACTATGCAAAGACATTTGACTGGGTGGATTTTACAACAAATTGTGACTAACCTTGAGAAGAATGGAATCCCAGAACACTTGATTGTGCTCATGTGAAACCTCTACTTGATCAAAGAACAGTCATTAGAACAGAGCAAGGAAACGTTACATGGTTCATAATCAGGAAAGGAGAGCATCAAAGATATATCCTGTCTCCACGTCCTTTCCATTTGTATGTTCATTCTGATCTGGAACAGATTGTTCAGGAGGCTGAACTTCGTGAGGAGGAATGTGGCATCAGGATTGGAGGAAGACTTATCAACAACCTGTGTTATGCAGATGACACAACCGTACTTGGCTGAAACTGAGGACCTAAAGGGTTTGCTGCAGAAGGTGAATGACAGTATAGCCTTCAATATGGATTGAAGCCCAATATCAAGAAAACAAGAGATTCTCACCAGTATGCCTATTGGCAGCCCATGATAGAGGAAGTAAAGTTTGAGGTTGTTAACAATTTCAGCTTTCTTGGTTCCACAACCAACACTCTTGGCACCAGCAGTCAAGAAATCAAAAGATGATTTGCACTGGAAGTGTGCTGTCAGAGACCTCTCAAATACTAAAGAGCACAGATGTCAGTCTAGAGACTAAGATGCACTTGATAATATTTCTTTTATAAAGCATTATTTGTGGTCCTGGAACTAACATCCTTTTTACTCAAGACACTTCAAAGTTGAACTCATTGCTATTGAGTTGGTTTTAACTTGTAGCTGATCTTTCATCAAATTTCTGAGGCTGTAAATCACAAGGGAGGGGACTTTGTGTCAGCTTTGTGAGAAAACTCCCAGAGAGCCACTGGTAAGTTTGAACTTCCAGAGAAGTGTGGCCTTTGGGTCAGCAGTGCATCTCGCTATGTCATTTGCCAGCAGAACTCCCTACCCTTTATGTCATGTTATTACGTGTTTCCTCATCTTTCTCCCACCGAGCAGCTGATGGACTCAAACCGCATGCCTGTGGTTTGGCAGCACACCTCCTTACCCTACAGCCCCCAGAGTTGACTGTATAGAAAGAATATAAACACATGTAAAGGAACATTTGATTTGTTTACTGCTTTACCTTAGGGCTTTTCTCTGGAGCATTGCTTCTCAACTGAACACCGCTTTTGAGGTTGGTCAGTTTTTGTTTAGCAATCCTGGTGCTCAGGTGCATATCTGTAGTTCACTCTAGCCAACTAGAAAGCTGTGCCCTTATTTCTTTAGCCAAAGCCAGAACCACCAGTACTCTTTCTTTTCTGTATGTTCCTTGGGACAGAGACTTTCTGATTGAGAAGTAATGTTTGAAGTATCAGTTTTTCTCACTTTGTATTTCATTTAGTTGCCAAAATTCATACCAACAAAAAATAGCATTTTCTAACTTACCTTAACTGAATACCTTTTGTTTTATATTGTGAGTTGCCCCTACCCAAATCCACTTAGTAGCATTCTCATGCTAGTTCTGGGAAAAGTGATAACGTATTTGTTTACACCTTACTTGTTTTTCTCATTTCCTATCCTGTTTCTTTTTGGGAGTGGGACTGGGTGCGGGAAACATATGAGAGAATTACCTTTGGATTGAAGAAATTATTTTGCTTTCCTTGCAATTAACGTTAAATGACCTGCCATATTTCTCAATCTGAGCCACTCTGAGAGTCCTCCAGTAGTGTAAACAATTCAGCTGCTCCAAGGTCAAGTTACTAAAGCTCAGCTGCTCAAAAAGTTTAAGGTTAGAGTTTACCCAGAGGCACCTTAAAAGGAAGACCTGAGAATCTGCTTCCAGAAAACCTGCCATTATAAATGCTATGAGTTCTGTTCTGACATGTTACTATAAATTGGAATTGACTCGTTGGCAGCTGCTTTTTTGAGCCACTCAGACAGAAAAGGGAGCTCTAGTGGCCTAATGGGTAAGAAGTTGCACTGCCAACCCAAAGATAGACAGTTCAAATCCACAAGCCACTCTGTGGGGAGAAACTGGGCAGTTGCCTCCCATGTAATTTGCTGCCCCTGAAAACCTGTTGGAGGGTCAGCCCTGAGTCAGTTCTGACTCAGTGACAAGATCATAATCACTAAGAGCAAAAAGTGCTGCCAGTGCCAACTCAGTCATCAGAATTGTTAATGTATGTGAAAATATGCAAAGGCATTTGACTGTGTAGATCATAACAAACTATGGCTGACTCTGAGAAGAATGGGAATCCCAGAACACTTGATCGTTCTAATGCAAAACTTATACTTGGACCAGGAGGCAGTCATCAGAACAGAGCAAGGGAACACTGCATGGTTCAAAATTGGGAAGGGCGTACTCCAGGGATGCGTCCTATCTCCATACCTTTTCAACCTATATGCAGAACAGATTATCCAGGAGGCTGGGCTCTATGAGGAGAAATGTGGGGTCAAGATTGGTGGACGATTTATCAACAACCTGCGTTATGCGGATGACACAACCCTGCTTGCTGAAACTGAAGAGGACCTGAAGCGCCTGCTGCAGAGTGTCAAGGACTGCAGCCTACAATATGGATTGAGGCTCAATGTCAAGAAGACAAAGATTCTCGCCACCGGACCAATTGGCAGCATCAGGATGGATGGTGAAGAGATTGAGATTGTTCACAGCTTTAGTTTGCTTGGCTCCATAGTCAACAGTCTTGGCACCAGCAGCCAGGAAATTAAAAGGCGCATTGCCATGGGAAAGTCTGCTGTTAGGGACCTCTCCAAAGTGCTGAAGAGCAATGGTGTCTCTCTGGAGACTAAGGTGCGTCTGATACAGGCCATGGTTTTTGCAATCACTTGTTATGCATCAGAGAGTTGGACAATGACCAGGGAGGATAGAAGGAGAATTGATACCTTTAAGCTGTGGTGCTGGAGAAGAGTATTGAGAATACCATGGACTGCTAGGAAAACAAACAGATTTGTCCTGGAAAGGGATAAACCGGGTGGCTCCTTGGAGGCAAGGATTCTGAGGCTCCATCTAACATACTTTAGACATGTTGTGAGGAGAGACTGGTCCTTGGAGAGGGACATCATGCTTGGGAGGGTGGAGGGACAGCGCAGAAGAGGAAGGCCCTTTATGAGGTGGATTGATTCGGTGACTGGGATAATTGGGATGGGAGTGTCAGAGACAGTGCCATTGGCACAGGACAGAGCGGAGTTTAGGGCTGTTGTACATAGGGTCGCTATGAGTCGCAAGCGACTCGACGGCACATAACAACAACAACAATGTGAAAATAGCGCATCTTCAACTCAACAGTGTTCAGACGGTGTCTAGGAAATGGTTTTCAGGTTTAGCAGTAGTGCCAATAGTATTTTAAAAAATGTTTGCTTATGCTGATGGGCAAAGAAGGTGTCCACGGTGGTTTGATCAACAAGAAATGTTATGAAATGGCCTCTCACCTGCGGTGTGCCCAGTACTGACCTCGTCTGCCCCTTACCCCACCACTCCCCACTGCTTTTGCACCCCTATCCTTCCCATACACATACACCATTTTTATTTTTTGGGGCCATTACCCCACATCCTTTATTGCTGCCAAAACCATATGGGCAGGGGGCAGGACTGGATGGACAGATACCGCCCCCTACCCATACCCCTCCTGTGTGTGGTTCAAAACTTTTTGTTTTTTGGGGGTTTTTTTTCTGAATAAAAAAAGATTCTACTAACAAAAAAAATGTTTTGTTTAAAGAGATTTTTCTTATTTTCTTTTTTGGGTTAGCTTTCATGTAAACTGGAGCGCGAGTTTCGATGTGTAGAACTTGCTGATCTGATGACGCAAAATGCTGTGAGTTTAGCCATTAAGTATGCTTCTCGTTCTCGGAAATTAATATTGGCCCAAAGACTTAGTGAACTGGCCATGGAGAAGACAGCAGAGTCGGCAGCTACCCAGGAGGACGAGGAGGAAGAAGAGGATTATAGAAAACAGTCAAATGCTGAGTAAGAAAACAAATTACTCAGTTGATTTTCTTTTATTATCTTGAATATTAATTTGCTCTTTGCATAACTTTATTTTTTGTTTTTTAAGGTATTTGAGTGACCATTTATAGAACAAATTGGTTTTCCATTCAACAACTAACACATTTTATTTCAAAATTGATTACAATCTCCAGATGCTAGCATCATCTTGCCACTTCTACCTGTGTATCCTATTTCCATTCATCCTTTCTACCTGCTGCTTTTCATTCTTGTGAGGTTGTTCTAAGGAGTACACGCCTTCTTGGTGTTACTGATGACTGTATAAACATGCTTGGCTTGAAGTCAAGCACTGGAAATTTCTGTTCCAGGTTTAAAGACTGCTTGAAGGGCCATAGTTTTAAAATACTTCACTCTTGATGAGAATAGTAATTGGTTGTGGTGGGTTTTTTGTTTGTTTGTTTGTTTGTTTGTTTTGTGATTTTTACTTTCGTTCTCCATTTTCTCTCATTCTGTCTTTAATATGATCCTTCCAAAGAAGTCAGCAGAGGTAGCCAGGCTATGATCTAGTTCTTCTGATCCCAGGGTTGTGAAGCCTGAAGTTTATATGATCCGTTAGACCTTTGAACTAATAAACCAGAAAGCCAAACCTATTGCCATGAAGTCATTTCCGACTGAGAGCAACCCTCCATTGACTTTCAGATACTGCAGATCTTAGCAGGAGACTACCCATCCTTCTCCCTCAGAGTTGTTGGTCGTTTGAACTGCCAGCTTTTAACTGCATGACCTAGCACATAACCCACGTCACCACACTACATGCTGGCCCTTGATTGTCTTCACTTTTCTCAGCTTGAGATGAAGACAAATAGTTACACCTAAGATTGCTGCTTCCAAGTTTTAAGATCCCAGTCATTTGTGTAGTTCTCCATAGAGCGATTCTGTTGTCTTTCAGTAACTGTGATACTGTCTCAGAGTGGAATCAGCCAAGGGTTAGAAATCAAGTTGAAGAAGAAGATGGGGAGCACAGTGGAGAAGTCGATGAAGTGGAAGAAAAACCAGAAATACGTAAGTATGAGGAGAGACATTTTCAAGGCAACAAGTGATAAGAGATGCCATGACTGTGCCTTCCCTATTTTATCTGGCTGAGGAAAATAGACACTACTCATAATTTTAAAAATGTTTTACTGTCTGTTGACTAATCTCGCCCATTACAGTATGCTGTTTTTATCTGAATTACTACAGGACAAAACCCATTTTCCAAAAATGCAAATTCTTCTGATGTTCCAGCTAATAAATCAGGTGAGAAATGGATGTAAGTGTATAATATCAAGGGAATTTTACAGTTGGTCTCTTTGAATCTGCAAAGATATACCTATTTTTAAAAATCAGAGATGTTTGAGAAACTGTGAAGTGTTTCTTGTGTGTCACCCTTAGTTAGATTAGCATATAGAAGGCACACAGACATGCCCGCCTGATCCCCACAATAGTGCTATTTCTTCCCAGCAGGGAGGACAGGTATTGAACATGTAATTACAAGATTCTTAAAGTGTCATCTATGGATGTTGTTGGAGAAACAATTAACTAGAGTTAAAAGTATCTGCTTTTTAAAAAAAAAAAATCTGTTTGGGCCTTTTCTCCTATTTATTAAAAAATAAAATAAATCTGCTTTTGGGACATGGTCCCAGAAGTAGGGAAGGTTAGAGCAGGTTTTGCTGGGTTTTTTCCTCTAGCATAAACTTCATTGTACTATTGAACTTTTAAAATGATGCCCGTATATTGTCCTGGTAAAACATTACCTTTAAGAAAGCATGCAGTATTCAAGAGCACATAACAGATGACTTTTAATTAAGTCAGTGGTCAGGGTTGAGTAGAAACCTCAAGGAAAACCTCTTAGGAAAGCTAGTGTTTAAAACAAAGGCCTGTACCTTCTCTTTGGGGGTGTATGGAACGGACTGAAAATTGTATGAGACACATCAATAAAGAGGAAACCACCAAGGTGAAAAAAAAAAAACACAACAAAGGCCTGGCCCATAAGCATTGGCTACACAAAGGGGAGCGAGGGCAGAATGAAGGAAAGCATCTGGGCTTGGGGAGCAGTGTGTGAGGACTGTAGAAGGATGTGAGACAAGCTTAGAAGGAAAAGGGAAACTGGTGTTGGATGTGTTTGAAGATGACGAGAGCCAGATCTTGCGGGTCCAGGTAGACCAGATTAAAGATTTTGATCTTTGCTCTAAGAGCCCTGGGAATCTTGTCGTTTTTAAGCAAGAGCAGCGTAACATACTGTGCTGAGGAGGAACATGTTTGTAACGAGACAACTGAAGGTAGTGAGGATACAAAGAATGCAAAGAATTGAAGAGGTATTTTTGAGAGAAATGTAGAGTGTGGGTGTTAATATGTGAAGCATATTAATATACTGACGGTGCCATTTACTGAAGTCAAGAAGTACTGGGATAAGTAGGTTTTGAGAGGAAGATGGTGAATTACTAGTCACATGGAATGTCATGCAGGTAGTTGAATGTTTGGATCAAGAGCTCAGAAGACGAGTGGGCTATAGATAAAAAATTAAAATTATTGGCATAAATGTAGCAATTGAAACCATAATCTGGATTAATTAATATTCTAGGGGATGTAGAAAGGAGAAAAAGGGGTTTAGACCTAGGGAAGCATTAACATTTGGACATGAAATGTAGAGAGGGAACTATGCATGGAAAATGAAGCAGTGGGTCCAGAGACAGTGGCATCTCAGCAGTCAAGGGAGAAGAGGGTCAAGAAGAAGGACCAGCTCTCAGATCTTCACTTCCAGGATGACAAAGAAAAGGAGAAGCAATAGTCGTGCCAGTAAGGGCTGTGGTCTTGTGAAGCCTATCCGCTACAGAGACTGTACCCTCTGTGTGCCCAAAGACGAGGCAATTACGTTCATAACTCAAAATGTAGTAGTAGAAGCAGCTGCCATCAGGGACTTTTCCAGAGCAAGTATCTTCAATGCCTATATGCTTCCAAAGCTCTTTGTGAAACTACACTATTGTGTGTGTGAGTTAACGCCATTCACAACAAGGTAGTGAGGAACCATTCTCATGAAGCTCAGAAGGACAGGACACCTCTACCCAGGTTCAGACCTGTAGGTGCTGCCCCATGACCCCCACCAAAGCCCAGTAAAAAGATTTGATTTCTTAAAGGCTGAAGTAAAAACTCACCTGAAGGAAACTAAAATGGAAATTATACTTTGAAAAAGAAAAAATGACCACTCAGCCAAGTAGAATGCTTTTAAGAGCTCAAATACAATGATGACTGCAAATAGTATGCTAGATTTGGACACATAGAGGTCATTGGGGGCTGCTAAGGAGAGCAGCGGTTCTTTCCACATATGTAATCAATCTGATTCCTATGCATACCATCAGGTGAAATCCAGGTATATAACCTGCGTTTATGCCTCTTAAAAAATGTATTTGCTATGGAATAAGTCTTGATTGTGCAAAATTCGATCACTCTCTCCAGCTCCATTTCTGTCACCGATTCCATGTTTTCCAACTACAGAATCTTCCTCTTTGTTCCCGACTTTTGCATTCCAGTCACCCAT